ATAGTTACACGTCCCAAATATGAATTTTAAAGTCATTTGAAATGTAAAAAGGCAAAAAATAAATACCACCTAATGCCTCAAACCTGAAACTATACACCGAATATTGTGAAGCTTTCTCATGTGACCTGAGGCGGGAACAGATGATTGGAGAGTGAAGGCTTTTAAAGCAACAGGAAGTTAAGACCAATTTTTAAAATAATAACCAGGTATAATAATAACCAAGTAAACAAATGAATTCATTTCTATGTGTAAAAACAACCCCAAAACAAGCAAACAGCTGAATTACAGTACATGAAATTAGTAAAAATATAAATAAATTCATTGACACGGGAATGATTTTTCAAAGAGGAATGGCTTCCACATGTTGCCTCTCTGCTTCTTGTTCTCTCAAACGTGACATAAAAGTAGGATTTTTGTTTATTTATTTTTTCCCTTTCTGATGGGCGACAGCGGCGGCGTAGCTTATGATGACGACTGACCCTCTCAAACTCCGCTGTGCAGTGCACGAGCAGAGACGACAGGCAAGATGAAAGCTTGATGATGAAACCCTCACTGCTGGATGTCAGCGCCGCTCACGGCGTGCTGCCAGAGCTGAGGCCGTCCTTCTCTGCCGATATTGACTTCACCAGCTCCTCCACCCAGCGGACCTCGGAGGCCACCTGCTCGGCCAGGACCTCGTAGCGGTTCTCCAGGCGCCCAAACTTGCGCTTGAGGATGTTGGCCGACTGCATAGTGACCCGCGCGTCCTCCTGGCACTTCTTGCGCTGCGTCTGCGTGCGCTGCAGCTCTTGGCGGATGTGGTTCAGGTCGCCAGAGATGCTCTGGTTCTCTTCCTTGTACCACCCCTCCTTCTCCTCATATATCGATAGCAGCGCTGCCACGTCCTCGCGGCAAGAGCGCTGGTTGCGCTCCAACTCCTTCAGGCCTTCCTCAGCCGCCGCAATCTCCTCGAGCACCTGGGAGAAGCGCTCAAAGTTGGCGTAGGTGTTGTTCGGAGGCATGCTGGAGTGGGACTTGATGGTATACTCCTTGAGACGAGTAGTCTTCAGGCGCCGGCGCTCAGTCTTGTGATCTCTGTCCTCCTGGCGTACGTTCCGCCTCTTAATGACCTGAAGAGGTAAAAAGGTACAGGTCTGAAAAACGAGCAAGAATTTGATGACAAGAACCAAAAGATGGGAGTAAAAAAAGAGTCATATTTTCAGTTGGCCTGATTATCAGATGTGAAATTTCACATGAAGTTCTTCAATTTTTTTCCCACTTCACTGAATGTTTATAAAGATGTAAACAAAGACTTAAACTGCAAACCTTAATCCAGGGGTGCTCAAGACTGTCATCAATGGTCATTCTTTTCCTGCAAAAGAAAATCCATTAGTGTTGGTTAAATGCTGAAGACCAGGGCACTGTGAGTGCCAGCATCTGCATGAAGTATACAAATATTCTATGCAAATTGTACATTCATATAGATATATTTATCTATATATAGAGAGAGAGATTCACCATGCGCGTGTTTGTTGATTTAGTGTGCTGCATTTTTTCAGTTTCTGCATGTTCTACAATCATTACACTACGTATTTAAGAATTT